GCAGAATTTATAAAGTAAGGAGAAGAAAAAGGCAGAGAAAGGTTGATTCAATGAAGTATCTGTACTCAACTTCATAAGAGATTATACATACTGTGCTCAAAAGTGATTGGTAAGTACTTAGAGGTAAAGAAAAAGCTTAGAAAAGGCACAAGACAGTTTAGAAAGATCACATATTTACTACTTTGTTGTTAAGACTACAGGATTAAAGGCCATGATTTAATCTAGTCTTCTGCTGATCAGACTTGCAATGAAACTCGTACACCCCAAAATTATTTCATGTGAAACACCAGAGTAGTATTCAGAGCTACCTTAATGTACCATTAACATTTGAAATATCCTTAAACAACTTAACATGCATTCTCAAAATATTTCACWAAGTTTTCAGTATTTCCAAATTCTCTATTTTAGGCTTGTAGCACTYACTTGCTCACTTGCTTTCTGAGCATAACAGTATGTGTAAATACACTAAAAAATTTAACTTCTTGTTCTTTACGAAATAAATCCATTGTTTTGCACAGAAATAATGGCCAATAACCTAATGAACATTTTAGTCAGAACTACATAAGCAATAAGTCAAGTATTAGGCAATGGTTCAACCTAGCTTCATTACTCTAGATTAGCTAACAGATTTTCTACAAGATACTTGCATGTGCTACCTGTGKATAGTCTTAACCTGGTAAGATTTCTATGTGGTTTAGATTTCTAAGCTAAAGTAGAGAAAAACCAAAATAAGTTCTTAAAAAAGTTGTTTAGTACTGGCAATCTAGGAAAATAAGGTCCAAAGGACTGCAAACAAGGATGCTTCTCCTCTTATTGGGTCCTACAGGCCACTTTCAGCTACAACTGAAAATATCTTGAGTTCTGAAYAGATTTTATAAAATCACCCCAAACCCCAAAAGGGGAAAATGGCATTTGTGGAGCCAACTATGAGGACATCAAAGAAAAGAAAAATCAATATGGAGACTAAAAAAGCTCAAAAGCAAGAAAAATTTTACATGTTTCTTACCCTCCAGCACAAGAGAACTGGAAAAATTTAAAACTGCAAAGGAGCAGATTTTATCAACCCTTCATATCTTACTTCACTTCAATACAGGCTACTAGCAGAGCTGCCACACAAAGGTCAAGGTTCTCTTCACCTTTCACAGCAGGTTAGGCAATACTGGTATAAGCAGCTCCAAGATAAACTAGCATGTGAAAGAGGAGAGGACCTAGTCCCCAAAATGAGTGACTGACAGTAGAGACTACCATCAGCATCGCAGCAAATACTGAAGTATGTTATGGTAAAGAAAGTAGAATGACACACAAAATAAATACCCTTTTTGATCTTGTCACCACCCAAGTTTCACAACTATGGGGCAAGAGTTGAAATAATGCTACCAGAAGACAGAACTCATACTGCAACTTTGCTGCTGTTGTGACAGGGGCCATGATGTGTATCTGCATRCTTGTCACTACAGGGAACAAAAGATAATAGCTTTCTTAGCACAAAGCTAACAATTTCAGACCTTGAAGAGAAATCTTACCTCACCAAGAATTCACTATTTGGAACAGAAAAACTATTACTATGCTAAGAAAACCCCTTTACAAATGATGAGGTGATATCAACACAATACATGTGAAAAAGTCTGCAGAGAGAACACATGTGATTATTCAAATCAACCTCAGTTTGTGAGCATAAATCTAATTACATGACATTGGAAAATGAAGGAGTACTATGCAAACAAAAGGAGGGTATGACTTCTGCATTTCCCTMAGTCTTTTATTTATGGTGTGTTTGTTTATGTTTCTAAGAAACTATTTAGACTTTGTCTTTCCTGCAACTCAAAAAGCAGTCAGGAATCAACCACCAGTGTGGCCAGAGGCTCTCATACAGTCCCTATAAACATCTAGACTGATACTTATATGGAGATCTCTGGAGATCACTTAATCCAACATTCTGTTGTAAGCAGTCAGATTAGGTTATCCAGGGTCTGGTCAGGCTAAGTCAGTTTCCATACATGGAAGAATAACACCACATAAAGACTGTTTATATAAATGCAGGACAAACTAGATGAAAAATCTCCACTGTTGTTTTCAGCTGAACAACCTCTGAAACTCAGATGCAGTTTTTTTCCTTCTCTTCTTTCCTTARGAAAGGAAATTAAACATCATCTTGTCTTAAGTTTTGCATGTGTTAAAAACTGAACCATTTTCTGTTGGAAGATGGGAGGCTGAATCAAAACTACTTCCAAAGYAGACAACCGTAAGCTCCTTCCTATGAAAACGCGTAGGCACTGCAAAATTTTTCAACCTAAATGAGAGCACTGTCAATTAAATAAAAACCAAAATTGTCATTTAGTTGAGTCAAGAAGCCTTCAGTACCTAAACAGCTTAAAAATGCCATTGAGCAAATCAGATCATTTCTAAATTGAAGTTTACTGAAAACCCTGAAGTATTGCACTATACAAAGAGAATTCAGCATATTGGTATACTGGTTCGTTGATGATACTTGCCTTCTCAGAAATATCCTGTAAAGTTCTGCAATGACGTGAATTAAAATGAGTTTTAACAAACTTATCTTTCATCCAAGTGAACTACACTCAACTGCTTGCACTCATCTAAAAAAATACATTTTTGACTCAAGTCCCTGATCAATTTTGTTTAGAATGCTGCTAACCTTTCAGCAATCATGTCAGAGATACTAGCAGTTTCAGCAGTACTAGTGAGACAAATCAACACCATTAAAAATKGTTCTGGATAAAAGCCAACTCTAAAGCAAAGTATATTAGCCACAGAACTGCCTGTGGTGCAATATTAAAAAGCAGTTTRTAAGTTTAAGTGTTCTGCCTTATTTGGCCAAACTCGAAAGAATCTGAAAAAAAGAACCTACTCCTGCAAGTCGTTTTACAAGTTTTGACTGTGGTATTTTAGCATTGACATTAAGGTTTYATTTCCTAGCTGTCTCCATAGCAACAAACATATTCCCAATCAGACACCACTTATCTTTACTGGAGATTTTCTCAAACACACTARAAGCCAGCCAGTAGAGCAGAGGGACTGGTGCTTGCTGGCCTTCGGTCCTTTGGAATCAAAACACAATACTTTGGGGGAAAAAATAAAGCATCTTAAAAGTTAATTGAAAGAGTTCTTCTGACTTTAGACAATTTACTTCTGTCTTCATTGGTGACCTGGTGAACCTCATAATCCAGCATGAATTGAATTTATCTCAAAGTAACAATAGGGAATGTAGTCCCATTCTTCACCTTGGCAAGTTACCAAGCAATTTCTGCCCCTCTATTCATCTGGACATGCATGGCAGCATCTGTTTTTCTGTTTATTTCTAGTGGGCAGCACTGCTTCATAAACTGATCTGCTCCCCCAAGTGAAATTTCAAACTGCTGTCAGCAGAGTACAAGAATGATTACCTTGGAAAAAGATGGATGATAATGATCCCAAAAAGCATACAGGCCTGAGCCAGGAGCTTAAKCAGTCCCTGAACTACCTGGAAATTCTCCAATTAATTATGTAGTACATAAATAGAACTGGTAATCACAGCAAACATGTTTCAAAAATGAAAATACCAAGAAGCTTTAACAGCAGCAAACTGGCCTAGAAGGCTGTAATTTGTTCAAAATACATTYAGTGCTCTTGGAACCACCTACTTTTGAGAGTTGTACTCCACACCTAGGTACAGCTTTCCAAACTGAATAGAGGTGAAAGAAGTTGCCAGGGAGAAAGCTGAAGACACCGTGTCGACAAATGAATCCCTTTCTAAACTTCTTGAATATGAAAGAAGACTTGCTGTTCAAATCTATCAGGGCAGGAGTGCTCTAAGATGGTAGGATGTGCCTATTAGGAGTTATAAACTAGCTGGGTCTCAAGTTACATCAACTCAAAAGAAAAGCCATCAGCCTAATCTAGCACAGTCATGCTCCAGAAAGTTGGAATTGGAGAGGAGATAGTTACAGTATTCTGGGTAGAATGATTTCATTTCCTACTTTTGACTCAATCAAACTTCATCAAAAAAGAACACTTCTACTTCACAAAATATAAGCTTTTGGTACATTCAAAGCAAAAAATTCCATTATCCCATTTCTGAACTAAAGGAGCAAGAAATTCTTCTGATTTAACATGATTCTCAAAGGCATATCTTTGTTACGCAAAGCCACAGAAAAATTCCTCCTTTTAAACACGTAAGTACTATAAAATAACTAACAGAATCACTTGAAAGGACAGCCAAGGAACAGAATGCCAGAAAAAGTGTTGCAAAGCAGTTATTTTCCAAGATTTAAAATTTCCACAGAGATCCAAAATTCACACAACACACTGCCTCTTCACAACTGTGGCAAACACTCTGAATGCCAACTTGTTTWGTACTAACAACTGCGTGCCTCCTAACTAGCTCCAGGGTACTTCTTCAGAAGTTAWGGAAAGAATAATCTGTTTGTATTTTAGATGAAGTTTAACTTAAAATAACTCTCCAATTTTATTCTAAAAAAACTTGTAAAGTTTCAGACTGTACTGTATTCACTAGACAGTGAATATTCCACAGCAAACTAAGAAGTGTATTATTCTATTAGTTTCTCACTAATATGGCATTTTCTGTGCAGGTAAGCTGGTGTTGACTAGGTAGAATTGAGGAGCAGGGGAAGACATGGAAAGCAAGGAGGGGAAGAATCTGTGTAATCAGTCAGAAAATTAAAATCAAAAGTAAGTCAAGGGAAGCGATCATTTCCCCTCTACTCAGCACAGGTGAGGTCACACATGGAGTGCTGGGCCCAGATCTGGGTTCCCCWGGAACAGAGATCCAGACAAACGGGAGAGTGTCCAGTGAAGGTCCACGAAGATAAGTAAGTGCTGAATCAAATAAACAAAGCAAAGTCATTAAGTTGAAAATATCCTAGCACTGGGTTCCTAAGAACCCTGATAGAAGGACTCACAGAAGCAGCAAAACTTTTTGAGAACCTGACCACAACTAAGTTTCAAAGAAACGAGCTCACTGTTTTGTTATTATGGGCAACCTACAACCCACAATTTGTGGTAAGCCTCATGTGAGACACATTTGACTAATAGCTTTAGTTATCAAGACCGAGGGGATGTTCTCCTACAGAGACACACTGAGGTTGTACCAGAATGGATACATTAGCCAAAATACATTCAGGTCCCAGCACATCTATGCACACATTTATTTTTTTTTGGCAAGAATTCTTGTGCACATGACCATAATTAATTTTCCATTCTCTACCTTTAAAATGTATTACAGAAAGTTACAAGTGTAACCAAATCTAATCATTCAAAATCAAGACAATTAAAAGAGCCTGAAAGGTCAGTACTATTCCTTAAAATTAAAAAACTAGCTTACTGCTCCACCACCTATATGGTTGTGGAAATTAAACAGCCTAAAGATCTACTAATATCCCTAAATATCCCACTAGTTGGGCACCACGACTCTCAAATACAACCTACAGAGTGAGACACCTGACATTTCTTTTTGACCTTACTCCTARGTGTCTGTGTTGTGGAGGGTCTGTTCTACTTTAAACCCATTCCCACCCTTTGTTCTCCCCACACYTCTGCCACAGAAGAAAAGTACTTTTATGATCACATGAAGCTTAGCACATGCTCTATGAAGCTTATCCTCAGAAGCTTTCAGACTGACAGCACAGTGCACATGACCTACGCTTGCGAGGTGATGGCTTGCTCGTGACAGAGTTGCTGGCTCATACCTGATTACTGGCGGCCATTATCAAGGTTCTCGGAGGCGCAGATTGGGGTTTACCACTTGGCAGGGGCAATGCGGGYGCTAAACTGGCCATAAGCTGAGTCGGTGCTTGAAGACTGAACTGGTAAACATTAGGAGCTGGGCAAGGTGGTGTATCTGATTCCTTTTGGCAGAGAAAAAGGGGAAAAGAAAAGCAACTTTACAGAAAGTACAGTATATACAGACTATACACCYAAATACCATCTCAAGTGAATACTGTAAAAACAATTATTATTTTCAATAGTAAAAAAAATAAATAAAAGCCAGCACTACATTTCTTTTACACATCTAGCAAAAGTTTAACTTGAACCTCCATTAAAACAATGTCAACAGGTCTATGGCAATCACAGGTCAGTTCCAGTCAGCACAGACCTAAAGCCAAAGTTATGTCTCTACCAAACTCAAATTAAAAGATGAGAACTAGGGCTGGGAAAAAACAGAACAAGAACATCAACACTGTAGGTGATAGAAGGGCAAGAATTTTAGGTGTCATGATAGATTTGGTCCTCTGAACTGTGTTCTGGATTACACTTATTTATGTGGTGAAATTACTCACTGCAATTGCTACATTCTTCTCCCATTCTACCCAAGAACAGCAAAGTYAGGGCTCCACCTACCAAGAAACAAGGAGATGCTCTTTCAGGCTAGACCAGTATATATGCACCAGTCACACACACCACTGCTCATGGGGAGTTCTGCTMCCCTCACTTTCCATCTTTAATCTGAGGGGTAATTCTTCAGGGGAAGCCAGAYGGATGCAAGGTAACAGAAAAAATACTGCAATGGAACTGTTATCACTGATGAATATTCTTCCTCCTGCCASCCTGATCACCAGCAATTTCAGATGCAGCCAAAGCAGACATACTGGTGATGCTGAAATACTGTGTGTCTGGAGCACCTGACAGCAACAAGGCAAGCACAGATTCAGGGGTTTATAGGAATTACTGAAGTCTGAAAACACCTGACTACACCTCAGTTTTTAAATGACCAATTATTTTCTGAGTTTAAGAAGGTGGAAAGCAAGCTACAGCCTTTTTAACACAACTTTGAACCTAACAGATCTTATAAAAACTTATTTTTCAGCCACAATATAATGGCAGAAGTAGCTTTCCCTACATTTTASTGCTGCTTTTTTGCTATGTTCTTAGCGCCAAAGCATTTTGAACTTAAAAACAATGGAAAAACCTACTCTTTATCCCAAACCACTAGTGTTTTTTCCACTCCCRGATGTCTGGTTCAAAATACAGTAAGAGATGGCCAATTAGCAGTTTAGACACTACCACATTAAAAGRCATTACTGGCTCAGGTCATCACAGATCTTTACTGCTAAAATAATTACTGAGGTATTCTCTTGCTCTGTCTCTAAAGATAAATTGCCTGGAAGCAAAGACTCTTCACTTAAATCACACAAAYTTTCAATAGATCTCCAGCACTACTACTTGCCCTCACATGGCCTTGTTTTCTAAGATTCTTTATTTAGAGAATAGGCAGCTCAAGAACARAAACAACWAAATATTTTAAAGCTTTTATTGGGGAAGAAAATTATCTGAGACTAACAACTGTGAATACTGAGGAGTGTTAGCAATGAGTTGCTACAAAGCAAAACATGCATCCCAGCTGAATTGAATACTCACAGTAGAAAGAGTCCTCAATAAAGCCAATTTGATAGAACAACCAGTCTTTYATTGGTCTGTATAAAGTTGCACTTACTAAAAAGTAAGTTCTAGAAAGAAAGGAACTGTTCTTTTATTAGTTTAACTAGTGATAAAAGTTACAGTATGCCCCTGTGAAGCAGATAACTCCATCATGAATTCACGAGACAGATCATACTTGTAAAAAGAATCTGTGCAGAAAATTCTTATTTATGAGATCAGATGTATACTCTTTAATAAATACGTTCATCTAGTGGGATATTACATGCTATAGCACAGACCCAAAAATTAAGTTTAGCTGATGCCTGGATTAGATGGCGTTTTTCTCCTTTGCCCAGCCCAATCCTACAGTACCAGCAACATGGGAACAGGCTAACTTGTCCACAAAGATGAGTTTCTTTGGACAGTTGTAGTCATGGAATTTTTAAAAAGCTTATGAGGAGAAAATGCACAGAAAAGTTCTAAGCATGCTCAGTAATACCCATCTCTGATCAGAAAACTGAGCTCAATGTGAACAAAACCGATTTTCCATAAGCATTGCCTACACTGAAGGATTAAATCTTTCTTGGTCTTCTTGACCAGATTCTGAAGTGTAGCATGCAAACTTGAAGCACAACAGAAGTTCAGATGACCTACAAGTAAATACATGGAGGTAACACTCTCAACACTTTAGGTACACATCCGGAAGACAAAAGTTCTGAACATGACTAGGGTGAGGGCTACACAGAGGTAACATTAACGTACGGGGGTAAAATCACTCAATTGATTTTAGCAGATAATGTAGGGATAAAGCTACAACACWGCATTAAGAGCCGAGCTAAGTTCCTGATCTTTTGAACACCTGTCAGAGTACTTTATCCTGCAAGGAAAAYACCTTCTAAAGATATGCCTTTGGCAACCAAGAAAGCCTGCCAGATTCAGGTTTATCCTGCTGGGAAGTTTCCATTTTAAAACATGCTCTCTAATCAGTTTCAACTTCCTGATTAAGAGTTTAGTACCCAGAAGGAAGACTTCTACTACTCATAGCCCTGATTACTAAGGACTCTCATTTACTTTAATGCTGGAAAAAAGAAAATATGGAAGATACCTAGAAACACAAGTGTTRCTGATGAGCTTCTGCCTAGACAGAAACAGTGAAACGCTGCAGTCATAGAAAAGATTAAGAACTGAAGCAATCTTAAAATCCAGACATCTTGTCTTCCTGACACAGGATGAGAACAAAACAAAATCCTTTACTTTTCTGTAAAATGCAACTTYCATTATGAAGACACCCAGGACTTCATCACCAAGAAGAATATTTACTTTTAAAAAACTCATTACTAACTACACCTGGCCACAGCAGCTTATTACAATTCCATTAATAACTCACAGCTTAAGATAGCTGGTAAACTTCTCAGTTAACAAAAGGTAACATTTTAGAGCTTTCCATTTCCAAGACAGTACGCTTTCTTAAAAGCTGAAGCAGTCTAAATCTTAATTCACAACCCYAGTCTGTTTAAGTTTGGCTCAATACTAAAGGAGTCCAACTATCCTAAAGTCAGTATTTAGAAATMAAAGCATAAACAATTGAATGCTAGTTTCTTGATAAGGGGATGGATTTGGGTTTTCACTCCCATCTCTCCAAGAATGAACTACAGAAGTCTTGGCAAAAATAGACTTATTGTTTCCACTSTGAAAATTTCTTCCACTAATTAAACAATTACTTTTTCTCTCTTTCCCACAACATTCAGGAGCGGGAAGCTATGAGAGAACAATGGCCATTTCAGTAAAAATTGTGTTCCATCTTTGAAAGCAAAAAATTGAAAATTGTTGTTTAGAGTTAACACTTTACATTTTCAAGTGSTCCTCTCATTTCTTACAATTAACAGATTGTGATTTAACAGATTACTGCTGCCAGTCTTACTCCTTCTGCCTCTTTTCCCATTCTGGCCTTCCCCATTACACCTGCATTAGCATCTGACATTATTATGAGCTAATTCACAGAGGTGAACCATAAAAACAGTCATCACCCTCTTACTGGTTTTACTTTGTGAATCAGCTCACCACAGGATTAGGTGAACAGCAGTGCAGAAAAGCAGGAGAAGTTAATAAAAGGAAATTTGGCTAGCAAAGACATCCTATTACTGAATTGGCATAGTAGTGTGTAAAACTACACTCATTTGAACATAAAGCAATACCAGAGGACTTCAGGAATTTCAGTTTGGGGCCATGCACAGCAGAACTTCAGTACATGCTGTCACTTAAATGGCTTTAGCCCCAGTGTCATTAACTCTGCTTCATAAACCACCATGCTTCCAAGGTGACTTTATGATCAACCCCTACCCTCATCCCACTTCCCTTCTTGGTAGGTGAAGCCATAACTACAACTATGGTGTAAATAAAGTAGAATTGAGATTAACAAAATTTCTACCTCTATGGAAGGTCACAAGGTAATTTGCATCAATACAATTGCTCTGCTTCCATTGGCCAGCCTATAARCAATACATGTCTTGAGTTAAGGTGAAATTGGTTGATTTTTCTGMCTTTCATTGCAAAAAGAAAATATCTTGGTCATTGTGGTTATAGAAGGGGAAAAGTGAAAGAACGTAGGATACACAAGCAAACTGAAAAATATGCATCCTCCAAAAGCATTAGTGTTTCTTTTACAGCAAGACAACTGAAAATGCTATCTAATTAGTATCTACCAGAATAAATATAAGCACAGTACCCCTTCAACCTCATCTCACTATATCCTGAGAGGCCTGACTACAAGCTTATTTCATATTTTATCAATACTCACCATATATCAGATAAGTAATCTTAAACAGAAAAGGTCCCAAAAGTATGCCACTTAAAACTTCCTTYGTTGCCCCAATACTTTCTATTTCACAGTCTTTCAACTGGTCCATGTTGCTAACAATATAGAAACATTTCCAGTTTGATTTTGAATATGGGCATTAAATTACAGGATTAATTATGAAAGCTGAACACGCACCGTGCTAGGCTACAAATACTGATTTTAGGTTTTCTTCCATCCTAAAATGGCTTAGGTATTTTTGTGGGTGGTTTTTTTTTTTTTTCTTCATGGGAGGTAATGTTAAGATATGGCAAGATTACAACTTAGCCCTTGGCAACGAGTCTGAAGCCAACTCTTACAAAATTATGTGTTTCTCTCCTTACTTCACTGACCTCAGAGCAATAAAATCCCATTTTACTTGTGAATTACGAATTCTCTCTGTATCCTCTGCTCCTTAAAATAACTTGTTAAATTAAATAAAATTACTTTAGAATTTTGTTTTCAGAATTGTGCCTCCTGCAGCTTTACAGAAATTTACTTCAAAAGGATATGGAGAGGAGACTGCTCAAGGAACTGATAGTGGACAATTGAAGGAGAGCATGAAACAGTATAAAATACCCCACTATCAGAGATACAGGTTAAAAACCTTCAAAACAAGTGTGGGGCCATAAGTAAAAGAAGAAAATAGGCAAAWGC